TATATGAGTTACACAGCATATGGTGACACTACACTTCTCAACTCTTCATAAAAATACTGATATACTACAACCGTTTCCTAAGTGTAGATCAATGCTTATGAGTTCAATCACTAGATTGTCTGGTCTACACTAGATGATTTACAGAATGCTGTCCTACAGCTGGAATATTGCTGAATGAGGTGCTAAACAACAGATTATTATATGTTATGAGTAATGACAATTGTATGATGAATCTTGAACATATCTTATTATCCCAACCAAAAGATGAACAGTATACTTTAAAATACACTGTTTGCCCAACACTTCTACCAATAATGAATAATACTTATGGTAGAATGAGAAGTATACTGTTTAAACAAAACGTACATGGGTATCAGTGTGACTGAATTCATTTCAAAATGCAACACCTGTCAATAATTGATTGTCAGATGTACAGACGTATGAATTATTTTAACATTCATACAACATCAGAATTCAGGATATTCATCTTTGTTTTCATACAGATACATATATTCCATATTCCCCTGAATTGGTGTGAGATCATAAAAATACCCTTAGATTTGATGGGATACACTAATCTGTTGGGTTTTAGATGAAGGCAGGCTCATTTGTAAAACATGAAATAAAATAGGAAATTCATTTGGAATGTTAAGTTGAACACACTTGGTGAGAATATGGGACAACTGAAAGAACAAAGAACATGCTGTTGGCAAATTTGCACATAGTTCTTTAATGAATCTGGAATATATTGGCACAAGAATCTGATCAGCACCAAGTTCATCCTGTGTCAATGGCTACCAATACCGAATTGTTCCCAAATTATTGCACAGAGTGGCCTTATTTGGAGTTGTGGGCAATGTGTGACCTTCACCCTGACCTTCTAACTCCTCATGTAATGACCCTTGTGCACAGAATGTTGCATGAATTCTGAGAGTGAGTATTTGATGTACACAGAGTATTCAGTGTAGACTAACCTAATGCATCACCCACTGATGTGGGGTGACATCCATTCACCGCCATCTTCCCAACCACATCACTATCATCAACTAATTTCAAATCTGAACACATTATTGTACCAGCAGACAAGACTAAAATAGATCACTCAATATATAATGTTCTGTAATGGGCGGAAGATCTTTTCACAGTGTTAAACATTTCCCCGAGGTAAGGGAGTTACCAGATCATAAAGACACAGGAATATCTCAGTCTTGTTTAGGCTGGACTAATAAGTGCAACACTCAAATTGAAATCATGTAAAGAAATAAATATTCAGTTCACAAACCACATGGTAGACTCCAAGTTTCAAAAAGCAAGTGTATCGTCAACAGCGCATAGAGATATTTTCCAAATCTTTTCAGGTTTTTGATCAACATGCTAAAGCATTGTGCTACAATTCATATGTACATCGTGTCCTGTCTGAGACAAGGAAGGCAAAATTTTATTTTTTATTAATTCTTTGATGATGATGATTTAGAGATTTGGAGGTTTAACACGCACTTTCCGAAATAATCAGCATTTCGCACACAGAATTAAATCTTTGATGAAATCATCCATTTTTTTGAAGCAAATGCATGTCTTATGAAAAGTGGAATCTGATTGGTCAATTCTGTTAATCATATGCAGTCTCAAAAATAGCTGCTTACTTACTATCCCGTGGTTGACAAAATTTCTGTTCTGAGGTGCATTGAGTTTCTGAGTATGTTCTGACTGTCATTGACAGTTTTTAATCAGACTTTGTGTGATTCACCTGGATTCAAGAGCTATCTTTGTGATTATAAAGCTGAAAAGGCTGGTTACAACTTTATAGTCAACTCCCTTGCCTCTGCAGACAAGTGTTACAGTGCAAACAGATCAACTCATCCTGCACAACAAACAGAGATGACAAACAGTGAACACAATTCTCACGGTCACTGACTGCCAGATCAAGAACCCACCGAGAGTACGGATAGCACTTAAACGTACATGTGGGCTAAAATATAGAAGACATGTACAGACATAATATGAAAGAATAAACAATGTCGCAAACACAGCAATGACTGTCACGGGCATGTCAACAACTAGGAAGTTGATCACACAGAAAAATAACAAAACCAGGGCCCTGTTTCACAAAGCCATCCCATCACTAAAACAATCATAAACCCTCACGTTTTCATGGACTTGTGACAGCAATTGCCTTGAGGAACAGGGCCAGTAATTACACAAAAATTCATTAAATAACAAAAGAAACCAAGTTACAACTGTATAGATTAAAACTAAAAAGTAGACTCCAAGTTTCAAAAAGCAAGTGTATCGTCAACAGCGCATAGAGATATTGTCCATTTCAGTCAGCCTGATTCTAGACAAGGTTGAACCAAAATAACTGAGAATATTTTCTGAAGTAAAGATTTAATAACAGAACTGCAAACTTAGGACTAAATAAGGAATACACATTGACCAAGCTCTTATTCCTGAGAGCCATAAGTTTGATACATCAAAGTTGAAGGGACCAAGCTTAACATATTGTCATAATCTTCTAAATCATCAGTACCAAAACTTTTGCATTTATAAATATATATTTTTATATTGAGCAGCAGGTGCGACCTGTTTTTGTCTGGTGCGACCTGTTTTTATCTGGTGCAACATGATTGCATGTGGTGCAATCATTTCCTTAATTCGATCCTTGTCATTACAATGTAATATTAGATAATTCAGACACACTGATAGCTGAATGTAAGGGCAGAATGGATGTAGATACTTCAGCCTACACTACTTACCTGTTTTCAAAACCGGTCTAATAATTTGTCAGATTATTATCAACATTTAGTACTGGATCTGCAGATTTTCACAAGATGGTCTGCTTACCAGTATTACAGTTACCTTTGGTAATTGGAATTATGAAATTGCTGTTAAAATCATAATGACAATACATCAACGAATAACTTCCTGGGGAGTATGCAAAGAGACCATTCAACAGGAGGTCAGGTTTTGTACTGTATCTGAGCACTAAACACACATGAGCAAGATACACAGGCTATGTACACAGAGACAAATAATACTGAGCAGATCAAGCCACTCAGATATAGACTGATGAGAAATAAGAATACAAGAAAACAACATAAATGAAGGTTGGGAGAGAGAAAATCTGGATTATTTCATGCATTTTAAATCAAGCAGCATATAGATATAAAATTCTGACATACCCCATACACATGCAATAAAGCAAGGTAACATGGGGAGGAGAAGAGGGGAGGAGAAGAGGGGAGGGGAAGAGGGGAGAAGAAAGAGAGGGAGGGAAGATGGGAGAAGAGGAGAAGGGAAGAGAGAGGAAGAGGGGAGGAAAAGAGAAGAGGGGAGGGGAAAAGAGAAGAGGGGAGGGGAAGTGGAGGAAAGAAGGAGGTGGTGGTGTGGGAAAAAATATTTTTTTGAGACAAGTGATTTTTGTCATCTTTACATCAAGGCACATCTTTACATCAGTGAGTGAGCATAGCTTTATGCCGCTTTTAGTAATATTCCAACAAGAAGACAAAGTCATCAATATCCCCCACAATGGCAAAATACTCTTCATGATTATGTCTACGAGTTATGCTTATGTCAAATATTTAGGTGTGTATATAGAAAAGTGGAAATAGAGTATTGAAAGGTTTTTAAAGTTCTGCTCCAGAAAGGAGCACTATCACCAATTTCAGTCTATGTCAAACTTGTTGCCATGGAAATGCCAAAATATTTTATTCAGAATTCCAAAACTACCAAAAGGCACCAGTACACCACCAGATCTATATATGTGCCAAGTTTGGTGAAGAAATAGTGAACGGTTTTAGAGTTCTGCTCCGGAAAAGACAAATGAGCACGGACGGACGGACGGACGGATAGACGGACGGATTCCATTTTAATACCCCCCGCAAAACGTGTTGTGGGGGATAACAATATCATGGCTGGGGACACCAGAAACGGGCTTCAAACATTGTACCCATGTTGGTAAACGAACACGGGTCTTCAGCATGATAAGCGACCACTTTAACCTATAGGCTACCCCACTGCTCTTTACATCAACGCAAGAGTCAAACACAACTTTGAAGAAATGAAATTCACACCCATGGGTAGAGACGAGTAGTAATACAGATTTTTATGTCAGCTAAGTGGCTTGTGATGAATGCCATACATCAAAATAATACAAATATCAAACCTAAATTTCTAAGATTCCACTTACAATGAAAAATCCACATTATTATCAGCCCAGTCAAGAGATCAGTGTGCACTATATTATCTTTCTCAACACCCTGGGGAGTATACAGTCCAAGCTGCCAGCTCTAGAAGAGAACCGTCACATTACCCAAACTAAAACAAATCGCTCTCTGACAAAAAATATATTGTAGATTGTCTTGGAAACAGTCTAAACATCAAACAATTTCCATCAAAGTCTGCTTTCACTAATGAAGCTTCTGTATTTGATTTAAAATACACTATACGCTCAGGGACTGTCCAGATAATACGATAACAATATCTGTTGGGACTTGCACATTTCAAATAAAAGGTGAATAGCAGACAAGATCTGATAAATACTAATCGAAGAAAGTCTGACCTGAACAAACAACAAACACCAGAGGAATACAAGTATCCGGTCAAATACGATATAAACTCAAAACAATTGTTACCACGCATTTAAAATGTCAGGGTACCTCAAGTCCAGATAATATCGCCATGAAAAAGATAATCAAGTTATACTGTTAGTATAGGACAAATGTTGTACTGTCAGTATAGGATGAGTGATTTTTATGAAACCATTTCCATTATATTTAAGTTGGTTTTGATTAGGTATCACATAAGGCAGAACATACCTGCTTTGTAAACTTACTCAATGACATAATACTTAGGTGAGTAAAATGACTGAAATACGCACATATTTGAAAGCAGTGGGTAACGGAAAATGAAATACCCACTCAACATTCATATTACCCACTCCAAAAAAATACAGTGGGTACAGTACCCACATGAGCTTAATCTTATCTGGAGCTCTGAAACACTGTTTGGTCAGTTCCTGCAACTTGGTCCATTCTAGGACCGGATGGTCTTTGTTCTCAGAAGTGCTTGCACCAGTAACATCATTCATTCCATGCCTTGTTTATCATGAGTGAGTGAGTGAGTATGGTTTTACGCCGCTTTTTAGCAATATTCCAGCAATATCACGACGGAGGACACCAGAAATGGGCTTCACATATTGTACCCATGTGGGGGAAGTTTATCATGAAGAAAAATAGATATTTGACTCAGTTTCACAATTTCTCACACTCGACTAGAACACATTTCTCAATAACAAAATGGCATCTTCCTCCCTAACAATCTGATAAACAAACAAGGACAAAATACATAATGAAAAATACTCGTAATGCCTCACTTGAATTATCTTCCTGATATGTTTTTCACATATACTGATGAAACAATATTAAGGATCTTCTGATTCTTTAATATCACCATAATTAATCTGTCATGGCAGATGAAATTCAGTTATGTGAAATAATTGAATTGTCTTTTCTGAGTCGTATATTAACATTTCTGTCAGACCAGCAACTATCAAATATTCTTATTTCATCAGTTACGTGATATACTGACAACATATTTCACATAAATGATCATACATTTATGAACTTAAATTCTTAATAAAAATGGAGTTATCATTGTTGTCTCCAAAATAGAAGGTAGTACGCTTTGCCAGGGGATATCTCTATTGAAGTGATCTGTTTCTTTGAGTGAAATTTTAGAAGTCAAGATGTACAATACTGACAAACGTATATATTACAACTTGTTACAATTCTTGAGTGCACCGTTTCGATACAGATTCTTGTACCGTCAAACAGCACAGTGGACAAGAATCTGTATTGAAACGTCACAATCACGAAATAAAAGAAGTTATCCATGAAGTTTGTGGATAATGAAGTGATCTGGTCTGCTATACGAGTTATTATGCCCTTGGAATAAATGACAGATCGAGAAATACAAACACAACCAAACTAATGACAACAAACACATTTATAGCACTTTTTGAGAAACAATACTAACATTTAATTCAGATCAAATCTAATATTTAATAAATTAAATTAATGTTTCAACAAAACAAACATTTAAGACAAAAGAACATACAATGAAGATGTGATTGTCAACTATACTTTGTTAAAATAATAATTCTCAAGTGTCTGGTCTTGAAAGACGTCTGGCTGGAATTGTTTCCTTGGGGCTGTTGTTTCCTGGCATTCTGAAGGCAAACAAAGACAAGCTGTTTGAATCATTCACAGTACCACTACCACTATTATACTGTTGTTATTGACCCATAGAAGAATCAAGACTAGCATTTTCTCAAATATTGTCCAGATAAATAAGTTTCTGGATATATGAATCCCTTGTGACTGACCAGCGTTACCTCCCCCTACACAAACTCTGTTGAGGTAAGAATAAACCTTTACTACAAATAAAGAAGATTTTCTTTAGCAATATGGAAAGTAAAAAACCCAAAACATTTGCAATATAACATAACTCAACACGAAGATTTAAATTGTACTTGTACAGCAGTGATATTCAAATACCTTGTTCATAAGACAAAATGGATACTAAGAGTTAATAATTTCCACATTTGGTCAACACATGTCATCACCCTCAGCCTTGCATGTCTAATGACAAGTTCGAAGAGCCAAGTATGAATTTTAAGTGAATTTAAGAGCATGGTCAAAACAGGTAAAAAAGAATCCCCGCTTGAACATGTACAGTTTTCCAGCTCAACATGGAGCAGAATCTATAAGATAATATGATTATATGGTCTCTGCATGGAGGCATGTAAACAAAGTGTGAATCACGATTTGAGCTGATATCCATGACATATGATGCTCTACAATCAGATAGGTTCCTGTTACACAAAGTGTGTGTACGACTGTCGTAAGTCTTTGTTAGAGGCTAGATTCACCTTCGACTGCTCAGTGGAGTGTGAGTGAGTTCAGTTTTATGCCGCTTTTAGCAATATGCCAGCACTATCACAATGGGGGACACCAGAAATAGGTTTCACACAATTAACCCATGTGGGAAATCGAACCCGGCTCTTCGGAATGACAAGCCAACGCTTTAACCACTAGGCTACCCCACAGCCCCTAGCTCTGTAGAACTGGACACAAGTTATTGCAAACTCTCGCCCATCATTATAGCAGATTCATGCAACATACATGGGTTGTCATGGACATTTTCTACCCAAAAATATTCCCAAGAAACACCTACCAATATTCACCATCATGAGTTAATGACATCATGCCCGATCGGAGTCATGGTCCAGCTTCCTTGTCCATCCAAGTGCAGCTCCATGTCATGGAATTTCCGCACACTATCTCTGTGTCCAACACTCATTACAGTGATGTTCAGCTCGCTGCACTGCCGATACAGCTGCTCCTCAAGATTCACACCTATCTGACTCGTGGATTCATCTAACGCTGAAAACATAAACACCCATTGAGAGGAGTTGTCATACAAACATTACACAAGAAAAACAATCACATCAAAGTACATTAAGGACAGCAGTTTAGTTTGTTTGCAGGGCTGATATGAAATGATGTCATCAGGGTTAGAACTTAACTTTTTAAAGCACAAGCAAAAGACTGTGTGACTTTTTAAGCTACTAGCTAAATAAAATTTCAATAAGCAAACACATAAAAATAATCCCTAAATTAATAACTTAATAATGTAATTTTGACACGTAACACCTTCACTGCCTACTGCTTTACTAAATTTCTCGGTGTGACCGCTGTCAGTTGTCTTTTTGTCTCAATTCATCACCACCTTCCCCTTCAGACATCCATTTTAAGTAGTTTGCTATCAGATTATTTGCATTAATGTTTTATCATAAATGCCAAATTTGACCAATTCACACGGTTGCTAACGTCTGCCATCATTGAATCAAATCCCTATGTTATACTAAGCATGTGATTGGCTATAAGTTCCGTGGATTTTAAATACGGAATCCTTTTTTAATTGTGTTCGATGAATAAAGGGAAGTAACTCCAAACCGAATATGCCACCATTTTCATAATATTTCTGATTTAAATCAACAAAAACATTGGCCGCTAAAAAAGTCAGCCTTATTAAAAGATTGAATGGCAGTATGAATTTTTAAAACTCATTTAGCATATTAGCGTCCATTCATTTCAACCCTTGGTCATGGAAAAGATTTCTGTATACTGGTACTAAATAATGTAGACACAATCTGGTACTGAACTGATCTGGTGTGTCCAGGCAACGTTGATTACATGAACAATCCACCCTGTCTGCATGACACCCTGGCACCAACATCAGTCTCAGGGCTCAGGGGATGTGTTACAATTCAGCCCCCTACAAGTACTGTCAGTTTGGAGTCACATTGAGTTTCTTTCACATCAGTAGTTTGCAACCATTTTCAGTGAGTGAGAAGGAATGAAAGCATAGGAACTTCTGACAACAAACAAATGGTGAAACTGTAAGAATATTAATCTCACCTGCAAATGGAGGCTGATGATAAAACAGTCTGACAAAGGCCAGCCTCTGCATCTCTCCCGGAGACAGCTCATCGTACCTGGTGGACACCAAGATGACAAATGTGAACTAAATACCACTTCAAATCATCTGGAGGAAGGTGAAAACACTTTGATAATACTTTTTAAACATCTGGTTAGAAGTTCACATGCTGTTGAAACTCCTTATGTCAAAAACAATCGCTGCGCATACATATTTACCTCTGGTGACTAAAGTCTGTATTTCCCAATAGGTCAACACATAAATAGATTTGAGACCTTGGAGTTAATGAAGGGGTATATCTTGTATACATCAAGTTTAATAGGAATATTTTTATGTATCCACCGCTGAAACAAGTAACTAACGCATGGACAATGATCCAACAAGTTGGACCACGAACCCACTGCAGTTGATGCTTACGACAAACAATAAGTTACTCAGTGGTGAGGTAAGGAGTGAGGTGAGGTGAGGTGAGGTGAAATTGGGTTTAACGTCGAGCTTGAGAATATTTCGCTCATATGACGACGTGCATGCGTGTGTATGTGTATGTGCGGCTGCTTGTACTAGCCCAGACTTAAGCTGGTTTTATAGTGCTAGCCCACTGAGATACCATGTCGCAGTGAAGCATGAATATCCCACTCAGACACATTATACTGACTCCGAGCCGACCAGTCCTTGTTGTACCCACTAATGCCGAGCGCCAGGCAGGGACCAACAAGTATCATATTTTAACGCATTTTGGTATGATGCGGCCGGGGATCGAACCCCGCGACCTTCCGCTCTCCAGGCGGACGCTCTAACCACTACACCACGGAGGCGGTCTAGTTACTCAGAACCACATGTACCTGCAAACCCAACAAAGCAGGGCATGATTGAGAATTATACATGTGTTATCACTTGCACATACCATAAATCAAATATAACTTATATGTATGAAAACTACAGAGATGAAAGTGTTTGAATGAAATCTTTGAATGGCATTTAGAAGTCAGCACCTGATGAAGGGGTAACATACTCAGAAAAGTCGTGTTCCTCTTAAAACAGAAGTTGATATACATAAATTTCCTCCTTTTATGCTTGAATATGTCATCTCGTGCACAGATGGCTACACAACAGTACAAAGGGAGGTAATTTCATTTAGATTGAGGAAGAGTATTAACCCATTATTTTCAAACAATGGGCTGTCAGCATGGTTCAACGCCATGCTTGGTTGTGTCTGCCTGTCACAGTAAGGAGTTGTGACTGAGGCACTGATAGTATATTAGAGGGGTCTGTAAGTGACTAGCTTTGTGAGGAGCATATACACAACAGTACAAAGGGAGATAACAAATGTGAAAATAATTAAATACAGTAGAACACGGATATAACTTAACTCCAAGGGACCACGAAATTTAGTTTGCTATATCCGTGTTCGTTATTCACATTTGACCGCCATCTTGGATTGTAGAGATGTAGAGACGATATGCACGCTGAGGCTACAAATATTTATTCTTGTACATGTACATTGACATAACACTAAAATTCTGAATTTATCATTCACAGACATTAGCTAGAACATGTTTAACAATCACAACAATCTCAACAATACATGTATATAACTTAATTACGCTTTAACAAAGTCCACAATTTTGGTCTGCACACCACGCCTTGCAGACTTCATTTTGTCGACTGCATCACAGACATCTGCAAGAGAGTCGAAGATAGAACTATCTGTACCTTCACAAACAAGTAGATGACGAGTGTCTCTAATGCTGCATTGGCCTCAGCAAAGGATGGCTTCGGGTGAGGTTCATCATCTTCACTATCAGAGTTGGGAGCGGGTGTGACAGTGGGGCTGGCAAACTGCTGGGCTACTGACGTCACAATCTCGCCTTCAGTAGGGCTGCTCGGGCTGTAACAACTTGATTGTCAGCATTGATGAAGTCGCCCAACGTGACATCTGCTGGGATTTCTTCTGCTTTTTCTGACAGTTCATTCCACATAACTCTGAGGTCGGAAAGAACCATGTTGTCTGTCTCATCGTCTGATCTAAACCTTCATCTCGCTCAGGAAGGACAAAGCCTCCCTCCGATAGCAGTTGGCGATCGTGTTAGATTTGACCTGTCTCCAAGCCGCATGAATCATCTGGATGGCATCAAGGAGAGTGATTTGATGTTCTTTCTTCTGATCATAGGCAGTCAGCATTTTCCTCATTACCTGGCCCTTGTACAGTTGTTTCAGGTTTGCTATTATACCCTGGTCCATGGATTGAATCTCACTCGTAGTGTTCGGGTGGAAGGAAGACAAGTTTGACGTGTGTCAGGTGTTTCACAACAGGATGGGCAGGACAATTGTCTACAAACATCAGGATCTTACGTTTTTGTCTCGTCATACTCTTTCCAGGTTTTGATCCACTCTGTGAATAATTCACCTGTCATCCAGGCCTTGGTATTTGATCTGTAAGTTACTGGCAAACTGCGTACATTTTGAAGCATCTAGGCTTTGCTGCCTTCCCCGATCACTAACAACTGAAGTTTTCACTCCCGGACATGTTTGCCGCTACCAACAATTTTATTCTCTCTTTAGAATTTTTCCACCACTGCATTTTTCAGATTTAAAGTGAAGAGTTCTGTTTGGTTTCATTTTGTAGAGGGGCCAGTTTCTTGTCAGCATTGAAAATGTTATCAGGCTTGTACTCTTCAAGATAGCCAGGCAGGCGAGTTTTCAGCCCATCATTGACGAGGTCGGGTCAACAGATGCACTTTCCCCCGTGACTTGATTTACATACGATGCCACGCCTCTGTTTGAATCTGTCAATCCAAGCACTACTGCAATTAAAATCTAAATGACCTAACTTGGATGCCAATTCATTTGCCTTAGTCTGCAACATGGGACCATTTAAGGGAATGTTCTCACTTCTAGCCCCTTGAAACCATTTGTAGAGAGCATCTTCTACGTCTTGGTGATTGGCAGCTCTCAACTTTTGAGGGCGGGCCATAATCAGTTAACACAGATTTTGCAAGAATCGATTCAGCGATTCTTAATGATGGAACTGAGAGTGGATTTTGGAATGCCAAAGTCGTAAGCGATGTTTGTCTTAGATTTCACACCTGAATCTACAGCCTGAATTATCTGAAGCTTGGTGTCAAAAGTGATGGCTTTACGTTTGCCTGCCATAGTGACGAGAGTGCACTGAAGACCTGTATACCAGTCAAGCTTTTTAAACACGACATGTTTGTTTTGATAAACACGTTAATGACCATCAAACAATGTTGATTCGCTGCCAACAAGGTTGAGGTATACCGCTAAGTGGCTGAGCTGACACTGAGCTGACACTGAGTGAGTTCGCTAATCACGCCGTTAGTTGGGCTTTGGGGTAATAAATCAGTTCGCTATAGCCGTTAATTCGCTACTCCACGAAGTTCGTTATTCGCGTATAATTTTAATGATATTATAAAGGACTGTTGAGGGACTTTTAAATTTGTTCGCTATATCCGTTTGTGCGCTATATCCGTGTTCGTTATATCCGTGTTCTACTGTATACTGTTTTGGGCGAGGATGGAAGTATACTGTTTTGGCGAGGATGGAAGTATACTGTTTTGGGCGAGGATGGAAGTATACTGTTTTGGGCGAGGATGGAAGTATATTGTTTTGGGCGAGGATGGAAGTATATTGTTTTGGGCGAGGATGGAAGTATATTGTTTTGGTGTTTTCAGTGGCACTCACCAGTTCCAGTCTACAGCAACATCAAGCCCCCCAATCCTGTCAACAAGGCATCGCAGACCCACCACATCTAGATACTGGTACATCTTGTCATCATCTGCAATACAGGCTCAAACTTCACAATCGTATTTTCAAAGGTACTGGTGAAATAAACCTGAAAAGTGACATTCTTAAACAAAGGTGAAAGGTGAATTAAATACAAACAACCTTCGTACCTAAAACTTTAATACCTTCATTAACAATTAAAAATCTAGTGTACATGACCTAAACCGTGAAATAAATACAACAGATGTATAACAATTATTCAAACTGGCATATATCTCACGGGTCGAACCAGGGTTTTGGAAAAGTTAACTAATGGTTAAACTTGCTTCAAGTGCATCTGTTTCAAGGAGGCAACTCTTGATTAGGAACATGAACATCACCCTCAATATCAATATCAATCATTTTCTGCTAATTTTCTGGATTTCATAATGGAAATATAATAATATGTGGACATTGTGCTTTATAGAACATATTTTATTGAGAGGACAAATACCATAATATCTGCAACATACAAATCTTGGAATGGTAAGAGTCAAAGATTTTGATTTAACGCTTTGAACAGTAGTGTTAACAATGAACATGGTGTGTTATTTGGATGCTGGAGGTAAGCCTGAAAAGATGCAGGTCGGAGATGCTTGATGAAAACCTTGAAACAAATTCAGGGAGGTTTTTCCACAGAAAACACCAAAGAAAAGTGAAAACCACCAAACACAGCTGTTTAAAATGTAGAGCAATGTCCAGTGTAAGATTTGATTCTTCTGTAAAGTGTAAGGACACAGTATTCTTACAGTATTTTCAGGGACAAATAGTAAACAGCTACATTGTTGTGTCTTTCCAGGCACATATAAACTGATGTCCTATTCACTTACCAATTTATGTTCATTGCCATCTGCCATTCGTTTAGGTTTTATAAATATACTGGACAAAATAAGTTAGGGATATTAGTATTTTTATGATTGATATTTTATCACTGTGTCAATGAATAAATAGATTACTACTCATAATATCAAAATTTACATATATCCCTAACTATTTGTTCAGTATAGATAAAATCTATATAGATCAAGCTTTTATATTCCTTCTGTAACAAGTTTGTCAACAACTAGACCAGATTTAATTCCTTTTGTGGCTGTAAAGTTAAGTATCATGTGTACTGGTTGTGCTCAACATGCACTGCCATAGTTAAGTATCATATATACACCCGGCAGCTTTGCACTCCTCACATGCCTAGATTAAGACAGGAGGATATAGGCAAGCGAGCATGCAAACAAGTGGTGTTTTACCATGGTAGTAGGCACAGTTATGTGAGTTAGCATGCCCTCTGCTGGACATCATGAGGTATGATGGATGAGTGAGTATGGTTTTATGCTGTGTTTAGCAATATTCCAAAAATGTAACAGCTGAAAAAACCCCAGAATGGGGCTTCACATGCTATACCTCCGAGCTATGAGGAAACACAATCAGACAGATTACAGCTGAATGATGTATACCAGAAGTCTTCCGAGGTATATGTATGTCCATCAGCCATTGCGAGTCACTATTCATCAGCCTATTGCGAGTCATCTCTCACAACCAATGAGGAACGACTGGAATTGTTAGCATTTAGTTGCAACAGAGGCAGCGCTGTCTCAGGTCCATTTCTGAGAACTCTATGTAAGAAAAGTTTTTGATGACAATAATCTTTAGCAGTCCTTACAAAAATCACTGGTGGTGGCAATATTTCACAGAAAATTAACAATGCTTAAAGCAGTCCTGTGACACGATGTCTCTAATAAGTCAACAGAAACCTGGAGAGTGAGTGAGAGTGAGTGAGTGAGTGAGTGAGTGAGTTAACATTTTACATCACATCGGCAATATTACAGCCATATAGCGATGAAAACAAGGTAATCAATTTAAAATATCTGTCGACAATGGACAGTAAAACCAACTAGACTATCAAAGAAATATATTTAAAACTAGTAATTAAATCTAAAATACTTTAACTATAGAGGACGATACAATATAAAAACAGGCTATAGATCGCCAACAACTGAAGGTAGATCACCATACTAGGGACCATTGTGACTTACAGTACCTTTGCTACCTGCATGGACCCTAGTTGAATGGAACCTTGAGAGGAATTAGGGATATTTGCTTACATCTGTATTAACATTTAGTATTAATTCGCTAATTGTGTTTGTGCGCAGCATTTACAATCCCCTTGCATCAAACACTAGCACCATAAATATATACTCAAACTTCAAACTACAACCATCCACATGTAGCACTCTGGGCAAAAGTCCATTACTTCCACATTCTATTCAAAGAATGATGTCATCTCCTATGATAATATTGCAACTCCAGGCCAACATTTTTTCTGCTTCGCGTTTTCTACAAAATTTCCCTCTCACCCTCCCTAAATAGTGCAACCCCCAAGGGTTCCTGCCTACCTGAGGATTTAAAAAAATTCCCCTCACTTTGCCCATCTGCCTTCTCACGGCAGAGGGCCGTAACTATCTAAATGCTGGCATCTTGTCCCTTCAGCAACATTCACACTGTACCCTCCTTCATCCACAAAACAATCTTAAATCCCTATTTATAGCTATTTTGCTTACTGGTATGTTCAGCTCAACAATTTGTTTACATATAACATCACCATATTAATCATAAAGGTCTGCATGTAATACAAAGAAATAAATATTACATGTACATAACGAAATGGTATTTGGTCTGATTCAGTCCTACAGACCATATTAACACCGGTCTTCTCGTCCTGAAGTCAGAGTGGACTGCATAAGAACACACAGTTATAGTCTGTTTGCAGTGAAAATGTACCGATGCATTTCATTTTTAAAAAAAAGAAAAAATCAAATAAAGTGAAATTAAGATTGCGAATCCTCATAATTTTACCTTGCCAATTGAGCATTAAAATCTCAGAATTTTATTCAACTTAGGATAAAAGGTGTTTAACAAACAATCATAGTTTCAAATCGCTATTATTGGTTTGTATTACAAGGGGGTCTCTGACATTTAATGTTCCAGAAAAAAACTCTCATTACTCACACTGAACACTTTCCTCGGTCCTCAATGGATATATGATCTAGAAGAAAGAATTAACATTTGCAAACTCAGAAGAGAAACTTGTCAATAGTACTTCAAATGTTAAACTTGAACTTTTAAAATATTTTCACCTATAACATAAAAATTCAAATTCAAGATGAATTCTTGTCTAATGAAAGCTTGCAATGTAATACATAATTGCACCACAAAGAAAACATAATGATAAATGACAGAGATAGGGCAGATTTCCATTTCTTGTCAGATATCTTTAAGGAAAGAATGGTCTTCCTTACTTTCTACTACAACCTTCTATACTTTCATCATCAGAATCAATACTTTGATACTCAAAAACACACACCTGTTCCCTGAGAGTCCCGTCAGTGAAGTAAGGCCTCTGTGGTAGGTAGAAAACAGCTTTAGGTCCTTTGGATACATGTCCTGCAAGACATATAATAGGGTTTCATCATCATCATCATCATCATTTTGTTGCCGGTACCATTCACAGATAATAGACATGTATCTACTTGACAACACCATAAACAAGAGTATGCCACTGACAAGTCATATACAAATATTATTTTTGACACCGGACAATCACAGAAATGGTCCACTAAACTTATTATTAAATGTTAACTTGTATTTCCATATATCTGCCTGAACTTTTCAAGGCAAGGGATATTAAAGAAAACTGTACCAGTAATGCTTGACCACAGGCCATTGATGACCCGAAGCAGTGAGCTCTTCCCACAACCGCTGTCCCCCGTAACCAGGATGTTTATCCCACTCTCCAGCTGGAAATTCAGATCTAAACACAACCAAGAGGACAAGCTTGAAAACAGACCACATGACTCGTTGTGCTTTCTGTAATCAATAAGAGGACATCCAACAACAAAATGTTGCAGATGATATGTATGGTTTATATCATTTACCTTCATAACCAACTGCAAGAAAACAAGCATTGTCACTAAGGCGACATAATCCCCCGCCGCAAATTATCAAATCAAACTTAAAAAGTAATGAAAGTGAAGGTCATAATTTAAGATGAAGTTAAATGTCAACAAAAACATGACCCGTCAACACATTCCACATTCGTATGTACGGACGGACGGACGGATTGGACGGACGGAGCGGCCGGAGCCTAATACTATATCCCCCGTGTCTTTCTTTCATAACGTTTATGTTGAGATATGTAAAAGGGTATGATACCCATGGAAAAGCTTAAATCAGCCATCGTATTAAATGTCTCAAAATATATAGGTGGCATGACCACCCAAAGATCAACAGGACTGGATATTATTTGTAAATTGTTATGACATGACGTTTGCTTCCCCTAAAGGCATCTGTTATCTCAGCTTATATCCCTATCCCCCAGCCCGACCCCAACCACCGTCTGCGACATCCGTCCTGGATTTGCTTTTGAGACGACCCCTCCTACCTGTTTCTTTTTATAGTGATACCGAGACTCCATAGTAGCTACATCCTTCATAGTTTCAGTTTTAAAGTTATTATTTTTTACGTCAGCTATCGTTTATAATGAAGCTAAGTTTAATTTCAAAATGGACATATAAAAAATGTAATTTTTAGAGTAAAATTGATATTTTATACTTATCCTGACTCATGCTTATTGCTTGTCTTCTTCTTCTTTGCGAACATAGTGGAACCGTGTATTTCCCTATTGAAGTTCCTTCAATAAAAATCACTAATTAGAACTCACCACGAGTTACCTCCCTTCCACAAGTGTGGGGCGAGGGGCCACCTCCACCCATGTGCCTCACTCTCTCCTCATATACTGAGCCCAACATTTGAATTTTCAGGAAATCCAAATTGTTATGTGGGGAGGATGGGAGGGCTTACCTCATGAGTCAGGATAAGTATAAAATATCAATTTTACTCTAAAAATTACATATTTTTCCTTATCCTGACTCATGCTTATTGCTTGTAGAATCCGATTGAGGAAAAGGAGGTGGGAATATATAATACTTTGGATTTTAATAATTAGTGATTTGAACTGTGATAATTGTAATAACCCTATGGGAACTTCATAAAGGCACTGAACTGATAAATTCCTGCTGCTAACTTATCAGCTGCCATATAAAGGTTATTACAATTTACTTATTATGATAAAAGTATATATAACATTAATACAATGCTTAAGACTAATAGACTTAAGCTTGTTAATATGATAGCATAAACTCCTTAGAGTTTGTTAGCTAAAATACTTTTATGATATAAACATAGTACTGAGCTTAAGATATGATTAAACTTAAGCTAAATATATAATAGCAAAAACTCCTTAGAGTTTATTAGCTAATATACTTTTATGATATAAACATAGTACTGAGCTTAAGATATGATTAAACTTAAGCTATATATATAATAGCAAAAACTCCGTAGAGTTTGTTAGCTAATACATTTTATAATGTAACCATAATGCTTAAGATATGATGAAACTTAAGCTAAATATATAATAGCAAAAAACTCTTTAGAGTTTGTTAGCTAATATACTTATATGATATAAACATAGTACTGAGCTTAAGATATGAATAAACTTAAGCTACATATATAATAGCAAAAACTCTGTAGAGTTTGTTAGCTAATACATTTATAATGTAACCATAGTACTGAGCTTAAGATATGATTAACTTAAGCTAAATATATAATAACAAACTCCGTAGAGTTGTTAGCTTATATATTGTATGATATAATAACCATAGTACTGAGCTTAAGATAATAAAAGAACTTAAGCAAAATATATATAGCATGTAGCTATTTAGTACTGTTATAAGATAAGTAGAAATCTGTAAGATTGACTTATCTTCTCGAGGAACTGTCAACTGATGTGCGAGTACCATGGGACCCGAATTGGTGGATACCTGAGGCGTCCTCGGTGGTGATATCTCTCAGATAGTGGTTGGCAAACACCATATCGGATCTCCAGAAATAACCCTCCATTATGGTATTTCAATAGCACTTGCCTTGTAGATCAAGTGTAGAAGTTAGCTCTAATATCATGAGGATTAGAAGCTCTTGGAGGGTCGAGTCCTGCAGTCTTGTAGGCGCGTGAGTATGACAGTTCTGATCCAAAGGAGATAGTAGTACGTGAGACTTCAGTCTGCGTAACTTGTTGATAGAGGAAATAAATCTCTTGAATTTTTCCCTCCTGTTTGGCTCGGTGGAGATATATTTTCAGTGCTCTTACTGGCCATCGTGATAGATTCATCGTATCATGGGGTCCAAGTATATCATCAAAGCGTGTTCATAAACCTCACTTGTGAGGTGTTGGAGCACTATATTCAGATCCCAAGTTGGAGCGTGAAACTTCCGTTTTAATCCTCCAATCGAAAGCTCGTAGCAAGGCGAGTAACTGGGTTAAGGTTAACTTGGCGCCCCTTCTCAGTTATGACAGAGCTATTGCTGCAAGATAGGTGGACAAGTTGAGCCTTTTAAAATCTTAGTCTGACGTAGATAACATAAGTAGTCAGCCACTTGAGGATGAGTAGCATATCTAGCTGTAAATCCTTTCTTTGCAGCATAATTGACAAAACTGTGCCATTTGTCATCGTATAAGTTGCAAGTTGAGTTACGAGGGCAAGCTAGACTGCTTTGCAGCTCTGGCTGAATAACCTGTTATTCAGACCGCATATGATACAATCCATACGTGAAGTTGGAATATTTCTGGCTTTCGATGCGGATGTATTAACAGATTCGAGCACTCTGTAAGATGTAGTATTGGTTGTCGATTTCTTGAATAAGAGTTGGAAACCACGTTCTAAGCTGGTCAGTAGGCAGCGACCAAATTCAGATGGAGGCTCTGCGTTTGACAGATTTTGAGTAAACTTGTGAGATTAGCGCTGGTGGCGGAAAAGCGTCTGGCGTTGAGTCCTTCCACGATATGCTTAGCGTCTGTTGCCAATGCTAGTGGGTCTGGAACTGGCGATCTGAATGTGTCAGTTGTTTGTTGAATCGAGTGGCAAATAGGTCTATTAGTTGAGTTCCTATTTCCTTGATAATTTGAATGAATATCTCTGTATGGAGCATTCATTCTGTCAGCGATGGTATGTGTGGCGAGAGAAGCGTCTGCTATCACATTCTTTGCTCCTGGAATGTGATATGCTCTGACATGTATGTTGAGATTGTCGATTAAATCGAACAATTGAAAACATAGAGTCGATAGGTTGAGGGGACCTGGTTGAGCTTAGTTTGTTCACATAAAAGCGTCACTGTCGAATTGACTGTGTGAATCATCCACTGGGTATACTGTAGTAAGTTGCTCCAGTGCATTAAAGGCGTTTAACACTGCTTGCATCTCTAGCAGATTTATGTGTAATTTGCTCTCTTGATTGCTCATAGCCCTGATGCCGTCCTGTTGGCAACATGGGCTCCCCAACCTTGTAGTGACACATCTCGTAGAAGTGTTATCGATTCCAGCTCTATTAGCGAGGCGCCTATTCAAACATTCGATCTCTTGGTCCACCATAGTAGATGAGGTTTGACCTGAACCCGGTAATTGAGCGGTAGAGATTCGTCTAGATGCGAATTGATGATGACTTGTAACAGATGTAATTGTAGTCTGCCTCTGCCTGTGTGCGTAACCCCAACAGGCTCTGCCACTGTCGTAGTGGTAGCGAGAGAGTAAGGCTTGTGGAATTGACTGTTGGATCTTGATCCATGGTCCTCGGTACAATTATCACGATTCTGCGCCGTTACAAATCAAAACCTAGAATTAGCAGATCTTGCGAAGGTTCTAGGTCCAACTTAGGTAGGTTTACTAACCATCTAGTTGTGTTAGTAGCTTGATGATGAAATTCAACTGCAGTCTGAGGCGCTGTGGATTTGGATCCACTTGTATCCGGTCGTCTAGGTAAATTAAAGCTCGCGAAGTCCTTGGCGATGTAGGTGCACAACCAGGTGTGACTGCCATCGTTGAACTTTATGTAAAAAAAAATCGCCTGACTGCGTGCCCTCGTCCTTACTTGACAGGGGAGGTCTCTAACCTCAAGAAGGCAGCCCAATCATGAAGGTTCAGATTAGCTGGACTGTAAGGAGGCTTGCTCTCGTTCACTGATATATTGTTGTCACTTGCAACCTAAGTCTTGAACTGTGAACTATGATCGAGCCTCTGCGTAGAGGGCGTTGTCAATCGTGGTCCAATCAGAACAAGGCATTTTGATTCTGTAGAGTACCCAGCTGTGATGTCACCGGTGTAGCAGGAAAAGGAACCTTGTATAATATAGTGCGTCGTTGATATTAGAACAATCGTCGGTCTTTACCGTAGCTTCGAAGTTACCCGAGTGACCACGTGTTTCGAGGGTTAATGGTAAACTTATAGCGAACCTCCGCCGAAATACCTCGCTCTGTAATATTAATGCTGGGTAGGTTATTTTCCTGGCTGTCGCGGAAAGTAACTTCAGTCTTGAAGATAATTCCGACTTCCTTATATAAAGGTTCAATAAAACTTGCAAGTTGTCAGCTTGTAGACTGTATACATGAATGTATCGTCATAATTGTAGAATTAAAGCTGAACTTGTTGTACATATTTCTTCTCAGAAATCGTTGACGATTATGAGTTATACTCGCTGTAACAAGGCTGCTGTTCAATTTCGTTATTGAATTGTCTGCAGATCTGCGTAATGGTCACGCATGTAGATAATCGTATCGTAGTCCGGGATTGCATACCTAGCAATCTATCACGGAAAGTTGATTCCTGTGAAGATCTCTGAAGCGTCGTTGATGCCCTTGATGTAGGTAGTCGGCTTGAAGATCCTTAATTAGGCTCTTCATCTGTTGATAAAATAATACAGCGGCGTTCTGTGTTGTAAATAGCCTGTGCAATTGTCTTCGCGTAGGCTTGTAGACGGCATATGGCATACAGTTGATAGACAACTCATGCGATGTCTTGAACGGACTGGCAGTGGCTATATATGACGAAAGTGGCTAGTATATGGAGACCTTGGAGGAGACTTCTTCGGTGAACGCCGGGACTTGTGAAGCTCTCGAAGTATCCCTTCTAGATCTTCTGGGTGAAGTAGACTTGGAGTCACTTAGCCTTCAGCGACCTTAGCGAAAGTATCTAGTCAGAGTCCGATCAATATATGAGCGCTTGCTTCACGAGCGACCTGTTTTCTACAGGGTGTGGGCTAGGCTGAAGCTCCTCTCCGCCGATGTCCCTCGCAACTGGTGAGGCTCTAGCTCCTTGAGCTGAGGCGGCCTGGGACTTCCTTAGCGAAGTGTCTAGAGTCCGATCAATATATGAGCGCTTGCTTCGCGAACGACCTCTGTGTTCTACAGGGTGTGGGCTCGTGGCGGCGCTCCTCCTCCCTTGAAGTCCCTCGCAACTGGTGAGGCTCTAGCTCCTTCGCTGAGGCGCCTGGGACTTCCTTAGTGGAGTGTTAAGCTACGGGCTGGATTGCCCCCAGCGGGGCGTTTGTGGGCTCTGGGGCCCCTCACAAATCAAAGGCGGGCTCTGGGGCCCTGTATGACTTATTATGGGTTGGGCTCTGGGGCCCGTGGCTCTGGGGCCTCTGTAAACCGTAACGGTCCTCCATCAGTCTCATGATTTGGTTGACCAGGTGCGTCTGGGATGGTCTGCGCTGGCATTGAGGGTGTCCTCTCTGTGATAGTGGCAGGACCCTCAGTTATAATCTCGGCGTCAGCGTAGGCATCTCTGGTTGCATGTTGATCTGCGCTGAAGTGACAGTAGCCGATACCGGTCACTTCTTATAGCGCATACATCTGGAATGATAATCGGAATGTCATCATCATATAAACATAATTCTGAATATCAGAAGCAAAGTTTGTTTTTTTGTAGCCTTCGTGGTTTGCCGAAGCTGTAGACCTGGGGGTTCGGAGTTCACGTTGAGACGGCGTGGAAGCTCTTCTAGTCTTAGATTGTGATGAAGGAACATCCTGGGATGCAGGCCCTTCTAGGATATAGCGGACTGCGTCCACGCTTATCCCCCGAAGGTAACCCAGGATATATCTGACTCCGATCTATTAGCCATGACTGAAGATTGTTTCGAGATCTATCTGCCATCCGTCACAAGACGGAATATAAATATTTATTAAAGGCAGAATTAGACAAATTAATACATAATTTACAGCGTGAAACAATAGAGCATGGAGATATGCAACTAGGGCATCTTAAATGCTAATCGGTAGCAGAGTAGCGTAATTTACAAACAGTGCAGATTTTTATTAAGCATAAACTGCTGAGCAAACCGCGGCGAACCGTGAATCAAGCAGCAGAAACACGAATAATTATCAATGCATGTTGAATAAGGATACTAGTTACACCTCTATAGATGAATATAAGAGGTAACAAACTAAATATAAATAAAGGATATAGTGTGCAGGGAGACACAGGTGCTCTCACGTCTTGCTCACTGGGCGAAGAAGGAGAGAGTGAGGCACATGGGTGGAGGTGGCGCCCTCGTTCCCGCGCTTGTGGAAGGGAGGTAACTCGTGGTGAGTTCTAATTAGTGATTTTTTATTGAAGGGAACTTCAATAGGGAAATACACGTGTTCCACTATGTTCGCAAAGAAGAAGAAGACAAGCAATAAGCATGAGTCAGGATAAGGAAAAATTTGTCCTTTGTAATATAATATCATCGCACACTAATTTGCATAAAGACATGGTCCATATAGGCGGGGAATAATGAAATCAAAGACATAAAGGACACAAAAAGGACACATAAAGGACACAGGATACATTAAAAGGGAACTTGCGCCAGGCAGTTGGCAGTCTCATCAATGGAAGAATCTGGCATTTAATGAATGTACTAAAAGAGCTACAAAGTCTCACATGTTTCCCAACGACTGTTTCACATATGGCACTGCAATGAATTACTATTCATGTGGGTGGGTTGGGCCGGAGGCAGGGAGGACGGTAGGAAGGCTGGGGCTGAGCTTTAAGTAACATAAATTCTAGACCATTCTGTATTCACCTTCTGGAGAGGTGGGTCGAGGTGGAATGGGATATAATGCCACATTTAAGATTACTGCACATATATTGTGTTGTGTGTGTGTATAGCAGCATGTCCAGGAATATGATGGTTTTGACTAAAAGTACAGTTTCCCATTCACACCCATGACTGGGTATACTGGCTACCTTCCAACCTATAACCATACAGTTGCATTGCCGTAGTGCAACAACATATACCATCTTTCAACATCTTGTGGTAAAACAGGGCCAAGGATGAAGTCATCAACCTTGCGCTCTCCAGGCACTCATCTAGAACTTACTTCTACACAATATTCGGGCTGACTTTGGTGGACCATATGTGACATCCTGCAGCTTGAGCGCCATGTTTGTCTGGGATGCTGTGTCCGCTGAATCATCCCGGAAGTCTCTGTCAGAGTCAAGGTTAACGTCACAGAGAGGCACCAGATCAGAACTGGAGCAGATGATAGGTGCAAGACAGACAAGGGAGGGATATGGCTGGCTTTTGTTAAAAATACATGAGTCTGCACTGATGTTCTATAATGCACACTGTTTTTTGTTTCATATGGTACTACTCATGAATTGGTTCATACCGGTTTTGTATTTGCATATAATAAACTGTAATTACAGTCCGTTTGAGTCAGCAACGGACCGATGAATTGCAAAAGTTATCATTGTACAAAATTGCCACATAAATATAAATAGTACACATGTTTATCATTTACTAATACCCAACAGCTTTCTTATATTTGAAAATTTTCCGGACTCCACCAAAAAAGTTGTTTAAGAAACTATCATCATTGAAAACGCAAAAGTTGTTATCGGTCGCGGCGGGGTGAAACCGCAGAAACGGAACAGCCACTATCTCGTCGTGCACGGGATACACATGCCTGATGAAAAATGAAGTTGAATGCTGGCGTGAATAAGTTGATGATTAAAATGTAACGATTTTTTCCGTGCCAAAGGGGCAAACCATTTTATGCCATTAATAAATTCCGTAAGCGGGCAGAAAAAGCTTTAGGAGTATCAGCAAGGGTACTGACAAATGTTCTGGAACACAAACATTGTGAGGGTGATCTTGAAGCAGGTAAGGGTTGTGTCAAAATCACACAAATTAAAACATTTGGACAACTTTCAAAAGAACCTTGTAAGGCAGTCTATCAACAAGCTCTATTCTGAAAACAAATACATGTCGCTGAAAATTTTAAAAAAGCATTTGAAGCAAGAACACAACCTCAGAGTATAAAAGAACACACTCTGGCGACTCTTACACTCTTTCGGGGATCGTTATAAGAAAATTTCGGGAGAGAATAGGTCAGTACTCTGTGAACGCCCTGATATCATTCGCTTGAGAAATAATTTTCTCAGGGTTATAAAGAAGAAGCGTGAGGAAGGGTTCGAGCCAGGGTACTTGGACGAGACCTGGGTCAATGCCTCGCACACTGCCAGCAGTCAGTGGGTACCAGATGGGGGTGATAAGGGGGTCACGTAGAAAGCTGTCTCTAGGGAAAGGAGAGAGACCACAGTCCGTTTGAGTCAGAAACGGACCGATGAATTGCAAATTTTATCATTGTATGAAATTGCCACATAAATATAAATAGTACACATGTTGATCATTTACTAATACCCAACAGCTTTCTTATATGTGAAAATTTTCCGGACTCCACCAAAAAAGTTGTTAAAGAAGCTATCATCATTGAAAACGCAAAAGTTGTTATCTGTCACGGCGGGGTGAAACATTGATGAGTGCAGCATTAAAACAAAACAAAAAAAGATCCCCCAAATTAGGACAGTTGCAGAAACTGACAGCCATTGTACTCACCCGCGGGAGTGGTTTCATCCAGAAAACTGTAGTCCTCCGACTGTGCATCCTTCAGCCGACCCAGCACTTCAAACAATTCACCAACCCTATAATGTACATACTGGTAGAGAGGACACACACACACAAACAACACAACAACTCTATAGCCAACAGACAATAAAAAGCTTTCATTTTTCAAACTCTCTCCTCAATAAATGTTTGTGTTCAGTGTACATGGTTCGGTGGTTTCTTCTAAAAACTGTTTGTGAAGGTTCATTACAGTGAGGTTAGTTTTACTCTGCTATTAGCAGTATTCCAACAACATCATGGCGGGGGACACCAGAAATGGGCTTGACACATTGTACCCATGTGGGGAAATCAAAACTGGGTCTTTGGTGAGACGAGCAAATGTTTTAACCACTAGGATCGAACTTCATGCTGTTGATCACTGGATTGTTTGGTCCAGACTCGATTACTTACAGACCGCCGCCATATGGCTGGAATATTGCTGAGTGCGCCATAATACAAACTCACTCACTTTAAAAACTAGGGGTTCCTTTACAAACAAAGTAACAAATATCAGTCCCTCTTTCTTCATGGTACCTTAAAAATACACTGAACAATAAAAATGAAATAACTGCAGTCATTGCACAATGAGTGTTTCACAAATAGGATGCTTAATAAACACACAAACACCATTAACAATAACAAGGACATTGAAATTCCCACCTGAATAGTGGAATAAACACAAATGCTGATTTGCTGCTGTAACCGATTCCTAGGGCAGGGATTGTCAAAACATTGGGAACATGACGATATGAAAGATGATGCACTTGCTGTGACATGACATACTGAACCACGTAGAACCTACTTACCTGTGAGCATTGCCAGCCATGTTGGTGACCTGAGAGGACAGGTCGATCAGCTTGGTGAAACAGCTGATGAGGTAGATGGTCACAAATGCATTCTGGTGAACGGAGACAGCAAGTGTGACTTAACAACACATAAACATAGAGTGTAAGTACTAGAACTCAAAACTGGATTGCTTACAACAATCAATCTATGTCAATAAACATATACTCAATGATGAAATTTATGAAAGAATGCAAGTGTCCGTTAAGAAAGTGTACCAATAAAGTCAGTCATGTTTCACAGGGCCGGTATCATATCAGTCATCAATACTTGGCATAACCTGCTATTGATGCTCTGGTAGTCTCTCGTACAGACCCTGAAGCAAATATATCCAAGAAAGCCCACACAAGTCTAGAAAATGTGGCAAGTCTAGATTTCCTCAGCTTCAGGAAGAAGGTCTCAGGGCTCCTTTTCATTATATTTTATATCTTTTTACTATGAACTTTTTTCAGTAAAATATGTTCATTTCAGAGACTAGTTGTTAGTCTAATGCTCTGGGTGCCATTGTACAAGCAACCTTAGTGCTAAGACTACCTAAAGTCTATGTTAAGGTATGGGATTTACGGTCACCTTAGAGCTAAGACTACCTTAAGTCTATGTTAAGGTATGGGATTTACGGTCACCTTAGCGCTAAGACTACCTAAAGTCTATGTTAAAGTATGGGAGTTATGGTCACCTTAGCGCTAAGATCGCTTAGTACAATGGCACCCTGGAAGGTGAAATGGTCAAGAGGGAGAAGATAAGTTTTCTGTGAAAACCAAATGCTGTTATTCACCCAACTACCAATACACAGTGTCTTGTTTGTATTTGTTTTGAATTTCAAAGGTATGGCTTCTTGAGCAGCCTATGACCTTCCAATCAAACGCGAGACGTCCGAACAGATTTAACCAATCAGGCAACGACTACTTGTTAGGGTTTGGCGGGACTTACAAAACGGTTTTGGATTTTCTCTTCCCTGGCCGGTGACACTGATCTATCAACTAACGAAAATCTGTATAAAACACAGATATTTAACCTGCAGTATATACGCTTAGGGGTTTCGAATGACATGGTTACTAACAGCTTATATTTCTGCAAGATGACATACTTGAATTTTGACAAAAACGCTTTTTTTAGCGACTGTTTACTCATTGCGTCCTCCATATGTGTATCACACGGAAGCGATCGCGCGGAAAATAGCATTCGGAATCGTTGAAGTTTTTGAGGTAAAAGTTCAAACGGTATGTGCAAATGTTAACCTTCGCGATTTGGTAAGCTGTGTTCTGATCGGTCATTCTAAAAGGTTAGCTGACGCGACCTTCTACTAGGGTTTGTTAGACGCAGTATAGCAGTGTAACGAATAATATTGAGCCTAAGTTTACTTAGACTGGCAAGAAGACATTAACTGGATGAATGGCAGCATTCATGTAATGACTGTAACTGCACTTACTGAATCCATGAACATGATCATGTGAACCCAAAATTCATAATACTATAATTCTTCATTTCTTAAAAAATGAACGGAAGATATTGGGTGTTTGCACATTGATGTTCATAAAAGACATACCTTACTGATGAGAGCAGACAGTTCCGCTGCTGACAAGGAGTCATAGTTCCCAGCAAAGATGGGCACAGCAATAGCGATGTAGCTTAGAATACTGCCCAGGTAGTCTGCAGCCTTGATGGAAACTGGAATACAAGGCAGCCTTCTTCTCAAATATAATTTTATACAATTTTAGCACTATTCCAGTGACATATCTATGGACAAAAACCAACAGTGTAACACATGTTATATTTGGGATGGCACTTTCCCAGTAAAATACAGATTCTTGCAACTTTTGTGGGGTTGAGTCCTATCTGGGATTTGAACACACACTTTCAGAGTCAGGCACCTAATGGCCAGCACAGTAAGTCAGGGATCTACCAGCCTCACTAACTTTTTCCACTATTCACCTGAAATCACCTTCATGAGAACACAATCTAAACCAAGAATATGTTACATGCATTTCTTAGACTCACAGTTAAGAGCGTACTGTCTGCGGATCAATTTATGCTGGACTTTGATAAGATCATGGAGTTTCTGGTTGGTTTTCTTCTCCTCAATGGCCCCTGACCTGTAGAAAGCTGCTGACTCAGCATTTACTCGTATCTGCATGTGCTTGAACCTGCATCACAAGAGAAGAGGACACCTTGTACAGATTGTGCATTTAGCCATCACATTGTTTAGAACTGATTTGATTTCGAATACATAGTATCAATAATATATGATGTGGTTTTTGCTATGTAGAAGAATGATCAAAATATTTGAAGTTAAAATTAAAAAATATAACTTTTGTTCCATTCATGTTACACTGCTTTACACTTATACAACTGATAAAATAAGCAGAAATGCATAACTTGGATGCTCACAAAACTGTGATGTTTAGTTCATCAGAAAACATTTTATGGGATCAAGAATGCCCGTGAAATGTTCAGTTTTCAATTTGTTAATACACATAGTTTCTTATAAAAGCCAGTTTGGTTTTATTCCATGAAAGCTTTCAAATGAAAAGAGTCAATTTTTAAAGAGGTTGATCTCCCCCACCAAAGCCTAATATATTACCTAATTTAAGTTCACTTATCTGCATATTGTCCCATTTATGGGACGGTACTTTGGCGGAAAATTGAGTATGGAAAAAATGCAAACCATTTTCATTCTATTTTTCTGTTTGAACAACTAAAGTTTTAAACACATTCTAATGAACTTACATACTAGTAGTTAAAATAGGGACCAATAAAAAAATCATCTTACCTCACACTTCGTCGAATTGGCAGGGGACCTGCCTTGCCACTGGAAGTGGCCATGCTTAAAAGAACTTAAACTCTACAAGTAATGTAAATGGTTCAACCACTAAACAATTTCCTCAGCTTCATTCACATCTATACTGCAGGTTTCTATCTTCAACAATAGGAGAGAAATGCTTTTTTGGAGTACCCGTCCCCAAAAAGGGACGATATGCATAAATTGGTTAAAAAGAAATGTTAAATGCTGTAACATAGCAATTGGGGGTGTATGAAGGTGAAACTCACCTAAAGTCCCCCTCTCTCCTCTCCTGCTGGAAGACAAACCTGACCACCGGGGACATGAGGAACTTGTTGATGATTGTCGCTAAGATGAAGAACACCACCACACTCACTGGACCCAGGTACCCAGTGCTGAAATATCAAAGAGATAAATTCATCAATAGAATCCACACTCATTGGACAAACATACCGGTACTGCAACATCAAACAGATAACTGCATCTATAGAATCCACACTCATTGGACAAACATACTTTGTGTGGAACGATCCAACAGATGACCTCATCTATTGTACTGGTCTGAACTAAGGCCTGTTTTATTGCACCACAACATAGAGATACCAGTTTAACATTGATCTCCAACTAAAGTACAGTTCATGACTCTGAGCCAACCTGTCCTTGTTTTATCCCCTCAATGCAAAGCATGAGGCAGGGCTGCAACAAGTACCATCTTTTAATGTCTTTAAGTACGACAGGTGGGGATTGAACTATTGGCCTTCTACTTTCTGGGTGGATGTTCTATCAGCAGAAGTGATCTATACTACAAAAAGAGAATCCTTTATAAGCTGATGATAATAAAGTGCACTTACCCATCTGCAGCTTGTTTTACATAGTAACCAATGGTGAAAGGGGAGATAATCAGTGGGGCAATTATCAAACTAAAGGAATTGCATAGTTTGTCCACATCCTGCGTGATTCTCTGATCCCTGCAATATATAAAAAACAGTAGATACAATGTTTTGTGGTTATCTCTACGGAAAAGTCAGTGCTATCAAAAGGAGATACCAGTCAAAATCAAAGGAATGTGCAGTCTACACATAGTAAAGATTATACTTCCCATGTCATCATCATCATCATCATCATCATGAAAACATTTATATAGCGCCAATACCAGTCCAAAAGTACTGCTCAGTAGTGCTCTATGAACAACTCAAGAATGAAAAGTTAGACACTGTATGTTTTCTTAAAAAGGTATGTCTTCAGTTTGGATTTGAAAATCTTCAGGTTGTTTATTGTCCTTAACTCCAGTGGAAGTTGATTCCAGAGAGTGGGTCCTGCCACCTGAAATGATCGATCCCCAAACCTGGTACTGGACCTAAAGTGTGGGACAACAAGAAGACCAAGATTTTCAGATCGGAGACTTTGGTGGGGCTGATATCTGGTGATCAGGTCAGATAGATACTTTGGAGCTAGGTTATTGAGACATGGTCGTGTGGTGAATTCAAAGGTGATTCAAAATCATAAAATATTCTTTAAAAAAGAAAAATGCGAATGATCATTTGCATTGTGTTCTCAGGCAATCATTTTTACAGTGTGGAATTAATGTGGCAAGGAACCATTTTACATGCTTTTCAGACTTTTCAAAATGTCTTTTGTTTTAAAATAATTATCAACAACACACATTAAGTGAGTTTCACACTTCATTATAACCATGGAAGCAACAAGAAACAACAAAGTACATACGGGTTATCTACAGCTTTGTCCAGCACATTGAGTCGGTAGTAGATGACGTCGTAGAAGTAACGACGATGTAGAGCAACAGTCAACAAGCTCCTCCACGTCACATACAGTACCGATGAAACAAACAAGATGGTGCTCTTCATCTGAACATACAAGGAAAATTTCAAATACGTTATTGCAGGTTCCTAGGGTCATAGTAGTGTCTTGCTTAAAACATAATAACACACTGCATCTTTAAGATCCCTCATTTTGGAGAATTTAATGGCAATGAATATCCAGATAGTAAACTGCTACAACAAATAATCGCAAATGAAAATAATCGAAGACCAACTAGATATCATATCTTGAATTCCTATTTACCATGATCATCCAGACCATTCATATGTGAGTTGTTTCACTGGCATTTCTTAGTAGTTGTAGCAGAGGTGCCAACCTTTAAAGAACCCAAAGAGGAGTAATGCCTCGGTGAAGCCCAGATCCTCGTGCCGCGTTTGAGAGGGGGCAAGCTCGAGGGAGGACATTACCCCCTCTCAAAGGTGGGCTTCTGGGGTGCCTCCCACAGGGAATTCTTGGGGAAAAAACCTTTATTGTGAGCAATTTCCTGCACTTTAGACTAGTATTGATGGAAAAATAAATACTAAGTAGTAGTAGTAGTAGTAGTAGTAGTAGTAGTAGTTGTAGTAGCAGCAGCAACAGCAGCAGCAATAAGAATAATTCTATATCCACTACACTAATTCCAAATTCCATGTACACTATGTGCATAATCAAAGCATCACAATAAATTTATTATATATACAAATAAAGAGATACAGCTACTTCAATTAGATTATAGTCTAGAGTATATTCTGAACAGAAAGTCTTTATCTGATCCTTGAGACAGGCCAGGTCCACTTGTGCAATGCAATCTTACTACTACACAGATATTCTAGCCTTGACTTGTGACAATTTAACTCACAGATGACTTTGTGTAAGTGGGCCCTTTTAAGGAGAGAGTGTGAGATAGTAACACATGGTTGCAATGAACTGCCACTTGAAACCTAAAGGTTCTCTGAATAAAAGTTTTCCAATTTCGCCATGAGACAACAGAATTTTAGGCTATTTTATTTGGCATTTTGGAGCTGTCTGGTAATAACACTGGTAAACTATGCGTGGCCATTTGGTCAGAGACTACATCAGTTGAAATATAGGTCAATAGTTCATCAACTGTCAATAAAGGTCAAATGTACGCAATAAAAATAAAAAATTATCCAAAAAGAAATAAAGGCAAATAATGAAGGTCACAATACAAAACAAATAGGTGCAATACGAACATGTACTAAAGAAAGAAAGTAAGTGCACAAAATTAGGACTTTAAAAATCCATTCCACAAATTATTCCCAATGAAGTACAGCAGATGGCGCTGCAATGCGTACAACAGTCCGAGTTTAATTGGCTAGCTGTGACCATAATTGGTGACATTTAATACTTTACTCATAACAAAAGATTATTAGTGTATACTTTTCCCCATTTTGTACCCAAACTATATGTTACCAAATGTCTGTTTACTTACGTCATAAATCTTTATTGAATCACTAAATGAAACACTAACTGACAATATGACAATAAAGAACACCAGAAGGTGATACAGTTTGTACAACAGTCCCATTTTAATCAGCTTGTTTATGATAATGGTGGAAATGACACAGAGGTGCACAATGTATTAGGGGTGCAACCATGCAGGTGGGCCACGATACGATACGTATCTCGATACTGCTGCCACGATTCGATACGAATCGTGATACACAAAATAAAAAGAATAACAAAATATAAGCATACAACTTTTATTTGAATTGAAGAAGAAATCAGAGTTAGTAATCTGTACCAAGTCTCTTGTACCTGAAAACAATTACTTTTGTTTTAAAATTAAAAGTAAACACTAAACAAATCTGTTACTTTAACAGCAGTCAGCAATCCGGATATTCTGAAATAAACTTTGACACTTTCAAGGTGTCTGAAAATCAGACTAACACAACATTGTCAAACAGACAAATGGTTACATACTCTTTTTCAGTGTGCTTCATGCATCATAATTCTGTTACAATTACAGTTACATATTTCTTTTTAGGAAAATCAGAACATCAACATTTTCAGCTGAAAGTGAAGCACGTTGAGCAGTGACAATATCCCCAGCTGAGGAAAATACTCTCTCGCTGGGGACTGAAGTAGCACACACTCCTAGGTACTGCTTCACAAGACGGGCAAGGGCTGGGAATCTGACTGCGTTCATCTTCCACCAAAGCAGGGGGTTTTCAGTTAATGGAATACATTCCTCAAGCTTATTGTATTTCTGCACCTCTTCCTCAATGGAAGCAGAAAGTGGCTTTGCCTCTTGCACATGTGTAATGAACACACACCCCCCCAAATATCTCCTCAATTGCACTTTTGGTTTTCTTAGGTTGTGATGGGTCTGGTGTCTCAGAGTCAGAAACAGCGTCTGCAGTGCAAGTCTTAGACTAACAACTAGTCTCTGAAATGAACATATTTTACTGAAAAAAGTTCATAGTAAAAAAATATTAAATATAATGAAAAGGAGCCCTGAGACCTTCTTCATTTTCAGAGCACTGATACACTGTTGAAACGTTTTTACTACTTTTACCATTTTGAATTTCAATCATTTTATGTCATACAAATAATAAATATTCAGAAACAAATTAAGATGAAGTTTTGTTGTCTGAAACACCTTTTTCTGTGGAATTTTTGTTTTAAATTTTTAAAGCATTAATTAATTAATTTATTAATTACATTAACAGCATTTTAATTATTCAATTGTTGAACTGTTTATTTACCTTGTTTGCTTCTGCCATCTTGATCGCATTCATGGTCAGGGCACTGAATACAAGAAGCCGGTTGGCTTCATTGTGGTAGGGTAGTGATCGAAACCTGGGGTCAAGGGCAGTTGCTTCCTGTAGAAATTTGTTGATGTCAGGCTCAGTATATCTGGTCTTCAGATCTTTGACAATTGCCGACTTCACAGACTTGACAAGGCCAGAATCACTTTCAGTGACAGCCATGGATTTCAGAATAAGCTCCTTTAATGGTAGAATCAAGGAAACTGGGGGCACTTTCTCTGAACAGAGGATTGTTGTTATTGTCTTCAATGGTCGAAGAACATTTACCGCATCTTCTACTGCGCTGACATCTTCCTCTGACAGAGTAACAAGGGTGTCTGCATTTTTCCTGATATCTTTCACTGTGAGAGTGGCAAAGATTGCAGCTTGCTGCTCGAGACACGCTGAAGCACGTCGTAGCTAGAATTCCATCTCGTAGAAACATCTTGGATCAGTTTGTGATTGGGCAGTTCAAGAAGTAACTGTTTTGACCTGAGAACAGATGCAGCATGTGAGCTTCTGTGAAAGAATGAAACTATTCTTCTCACTCTCCCCAAAATTCTGGACATCTGCGGCACCTGCATGGCTTTTTGGCTTGCTATGTTAATTGTGTGCGCAAAGCACCTTATGTGAGGTGCAAATTTCGACTGCTTTACAGCACTAACAATATTGCTAGCATTGTCTGTGCTAATGGCAATCTGAGAAAATTTGCGTAAGTTCCATTCGTCAACAGCTAATTCCAGGACATTAGCCAGGTTTGCCCCAGTGTGGCTCTCTTGTAATGTTCGTGTTTGAAGTACCGGATTTTCAAGTTGCCAGTCTTCGTTCACATAGTGAGCCGTGATGGTAACATAGTACTTGAAACCGATGTTCTCTACAACTGAATATTTGAAAAAGGTCGCATGTCCATCGCAATGAATGTACCAATTCCATTTTGTTATTTATTGCTTGCGCCCGTGTCGAACGAGACGACAGTTTGGTCTTGAAAGCCTCACTAAGTCTAAATTGACCTGCTAACGATGTGCGTTTCTTATCGTCAGAAATGTTCAAAGGTTTTGAACATTTTGATTGTCCATAATCATTGCAATCAATATCGGGGTGATGTCGCCGAAGATGTGTGGACATATATTAGTTGTGCTCCCCGTGTACTTGATTCGCAGGTAACACGACAGACGGTCTCATCTTTTTTAACAAGTTTCTTACCGTCAATGTATTCAATTGGAAAACCAAATGCTTGCCAAACAGAAGATTTGAATGAAGCCGGGTTTTCTTCCGACTTCACATTTGATTTCGCTGCTTACCAGTCCGTCATCAACCATTGTTTTGACAGCTCAAAAAGCACATGGCATCTGACAGTGAACTTGAGCTTGACATTCGCAGTAATGCGATCTGATTGGTCATTCATTTTACTGGCCACCAATGAGCAAACAGCATGGCTGTGTACTTTCGTTTTCATGGAGAGGCGTGTTTGTGTGAAGTGTTTCGAGTCATGGTTTCATGCAGAACATTTTATCATTAACAATTTTTGTCAAATTATTAATAACACAAGCTTTATTGATTGCTATGAAAAGTAGTATATTCAGATGATAGGTATGCTTTATCGTTTGATGGAAAATATTTATGATCATAAACGTTTTGTTACTGAAAAAAAGGCTGAATATTTTCGGAACGTCTAGATCTAGTAAAAACATTTGAGCGATTACAGCAGTTTTGTGCCAAACGTCGATCTAACTTGCACAACAGAGACAAATACACTCTCCTACCCAGAGTTCCATGCGGCAAGCCAGCATAGTATTAGCCTCGTTAGGATGAGAAAGCCACAATAACTCGGTGCGCCTAGTGGCTGCAAGAGTTGTATACTCCCCAGGGAGTTGAGATTGATAATGCGATGATAATTACATTTAGTGATTGACACTAAATGCGGTTATCAAAACCATTCTCTTGCATCCTTCGCATTTGCTTCCGCGTTCTCGTGTTTACTTCCGCATTCTGTTATCTGCCGCCATAGTTACGTCACTTAGTTACCAGTGACGTCATGTATTAAACGCGTGCCGATTGCGTCACTTTCTGAATGTCATTCGCGCCGATCTTATCGTGCCATCAACACCATTCGGTAAAATCGATCTGTTCTTCATTTCGTCATGCCCGGGAAAAGGAAGGCAGCTATCAACCACCGGCTCGTGAGGACGGGGAAGGGCCCAAAGCAGCCAAAGAAGACGCCGGCTGTCGCAGTCGTTACAGGCGGTAACATTTCTGAGAATGGTGAGTCCTGCAAT